TATGTATGTATTTATTTATTTATGTATGTATGTATGTATGTATGTATGTATGTATGTATGTATGTATGTATGTATGTATGTATGTATGTATGTATGTATGTATGTATGTATGTATGTATGTATGTATGTATGTATGTATGTATGTATGTATGTATGTATGTATGTATGTATGTATGTATGTATGTATGTATTTTGGTTAATGTAAGAATGTGATCTTATGAAAGAAATAAGAATGAATCCGGTGCTTTAGATTGTGAGATCTAAGGGTCAGGATTACATCAAAATTAGGTGCACCAAAATGGTTTGAAAATGCATCATGTCGAAATGCACCAAAATCCTTTGAAAATGCACTATCTCAAAATTTGAGTGCAGGATGCAATCTGAGCCGCACGATGCATCAGATCCAAAGGCTAGATTTTATTCTTATTTCTTTCACTAAGTGCATTCTCACCTGAACCGGCCCCTATATGTGTGTGTGTGTCTATATATATATATATATATATATATATATATATATATATATATATATATATATATATATATATATATATATATATGTATGTATGTATGTATGTATGTATGTATATATATATCGGTCGCCTAGGCGATATGAAGGTATGTTGGCGCCAAAACAACCTTGCCTAGAGTATAAAAAAGTTAACATTTGAGGTAAAGTACAGTTCAGATGATTAACCTCTGAATCTATCAACACAATATCTCTTACCTGTTTGCAAATTGTATTGATGAAAGCTTTAAATTGCATTCTTCAGCTTTCCCAAGAGCTTGCATGTTGTAAAACTCAGAAAATATCATTGCCAGGAGCCAACACCACTGGAGTCACTTTCATGTCATCAAGTCACATAATTGAAGTTCTTTGTTAGGAATCCTCCTCACGCCCTCCCCCCCCCCCAGACACACACACATCACGTGCTTCAATGTTGTATAGCGTTTATAGATCAAATGGAGTTTACAAGATAGTAGTTTAATCAAACCCTTTGGTTCAAAGTTGCCATAACTTCTCTTGCTTGCGTGAGCTTTCTACATTTTTATCTTTACGAAGGAAGATGGGTGTAATTTTAGCATCTATTATTGCCATATCATGAATTTGAAATTTGAGGACGAAGGGCATTTAGAATGCCCTCTTCTCTTCGACTAAAAATGTGATCCCAATGAATCAATATGGTCTGCTGGTTTGAATGTTTTTTATCTAGTCTAGATTTGTTCTGGATGCTTGTGATTCTATTTGATTTCTTGTATTGGATGTAACATCCCATGTGATGTGATATGTTTTCTCCGTCTGTGTTGTTCTATTCTGATAAAAATGTGAATAATTCATAAGCATAAATAGCACAATAGATTTATTAGCAAAAAGCTCACTGTACGTTTTACTTTTGAAAATGATGTGACTGGCTTTCACATTATCATATTTGAATAATGTGGCGGCCTATTTTCTTAGAACATTGGATTTTGAACAAAAACTATGACTGGTGATAGATTATAATGGTGGTCAAGAACGATGATATAATTTGGGGGAGTGTTTTTACCTCCTTAGATCCATATAACAATGCATGGAACTTCTAACATAAACCAATGTTTATTAAATTGTGCTAATCCGTGAGAATGAAGAGGCTAATCCGTGAGAATGAGCTAAGGAGTAAAAAATATATTTTTCATTGCTTAGAGTTCTTGATAACAAAAAAATGGGAAAGTGAATCTAGTTGTAATATATTTGAAACGAAATGATGAAATGTGGAGCTAATGTGAATGGGAAGAATTCATTGTCCACAGGTGTCTTAGATTCAAAGGTATATACAATAATGTTGTTGAGGAATTCAATACATTATGTCAAACAAAGAGTTTAAAAGAATATGTGATAAATTTGAGTTAAAAAGTCTACTCTTACACCAAGGATCAATGGTGCCTCAAAATTACTTCTTGGATAGTTTCATTGCAGGGCTTAAATCTAAAATTGAGTCATTTGTTTGAGCTTTTGTACCTGCCTCTTTAACTAAAGCCATTCCGTATGCTAGATTGCAATAAGAGACCATAAAAACATTGAAATTTTAAGAGAAGCCTAAAAGGCCATATTAAGAACTTACAAGATCATGCGGTCTAATATATATAGACATCTTTGGTATAATATATATAGACATCTTTTGTCCCCACGACGTCTTTGGTATAATATATAGACATTCACTCTTTACCAAGAGAAGCAAATGCAAGTTTGCAGTTTGAATACTTACAGAACTTTATGAGAAAAAATTACTAGGTGTATACATTTGGTTCAAAAGCGGCAGTAATATGTAGTGGTCAAGCCCTTTACTATAAAGATATATTAAAAGAGCCTAAAATGGCTACTGGAACATAAGATCTCTACCTCATTCCAATGTTTTTGGCTTTCTATGTTAATGGGATTTTCCTATGAAATTCACTACCGGTAATGGTATGTCAATATATAATGCAATTGATGCATTATCATTGTCGAGTTGTCTTTTGAAAACAATCTTCCTACTTTCTTATAAGGGTAAAGTCTACATATAATCTCCCCACCTCCACCCCCACCCCTCGCAAGACCCTATTTATTGTAACGTTGCACAACTTATGCAAAGTCCTATCCACCATTAAATCTTAATTCTATGATCAAATTAGGATCTTTGCACTAGGATACAACCTTATAATTACAGTCAATTCTTATACAACTACAAGATGACTCTTTTCTACACCACTCTTAGCAACAACAGGTGAGATGAAATGGCAAACTAGAGGTAGGACCAAATCCACTACTTAAGAAGAAATTTTACAATTGGCACATGCTTTTCGTATTGGGGCTCATTCAAGTAGGGATGCCACTCTAAAGAGGATCAAGATTCTATTTCATTAAAAATGACTAAACAATGAGGTAACGCATTTTATGAGAAATTGTATAGCATCTCAGTCTTGCAAGCATGAAACAACATCACCAAGCTTATAACTTCTATTGCCATACCTCAAGAGGCATATATGGGCGGATGTGTCCATGGAATTTATTGAAGGATTGCCCAACTCTCAAGGTAAGAAGATGATATTTGTGGTAGTAGATAGAGTGAGTAAACATACACACTTCATGAGTCCGTCTCGCCCTTACTTGCCCCCAAAGTGGCTCAATCTTACCTTAAGAATGTCTATAAGCTAATGAGATGCCAAACTATTTTGTCAGTAGTAGGGACACTGAATATTAACACCACTACATTTTGCCACATCTTGCATCATATGAAGTTGTGCACTCAACAACCCCCTAACCC